GGGGCTCTTGGCCTTACTACTAGGAGCAAGAACGCTACTAGGGGGCTTTTGGCCTTACTACTAGGACCAAGAATGCTACTACGAAACTCGTGACCTTACTAATAGGGTTCACTTGGCCTTACTACTAGGAGCAAGAACGCTACTACTAGGAGCAAGAACGCTACTACAAAACTCGTGACCTTACTACTACGAGCGCGCGAATGCTAATAGGGGGCACTTGGCCTTACTACTAGGAGCAAGAACGCTACTAGGGGGCTCTTGGCCATACTACTAGGAGCAAGAACGCTACTAGGGGGCTCTGGCCTTACTACTAGGAGCAAGAACGCTACTAGGGTGCACTTGGCCTTACTACTGGGAGCAAGAACGCCACTAGGGGGCTCTTGGCCTTACTGCTAGGAGCAAGAACGCCACTAGGGGGGCTCTTGGCCTTACTGCTAGGAGCAAGAACGCTACTAGAGAGGGCTCTTGGCCTTACTACTAGGAGCAAGAACGTTGCTAGGGGGCTCTTGGCCTTACTACTAGGAGCAAGAACGCTACTAGGGGGCTCCTGGCCTTACTACTAGGAGCAAGAACGCTACTAGGGGGCTCCTGGCCTTACTACTAGGAGCAAGAACGCTACTAGGGGGCTCCAGGAGCAAGAACGCTACTAGGGGGCCCGTGGCCTTATTAGTAGGAGCAAGACCGCTACTAGGGTGCTCTTGGCCTTACTACTAGGAGCAAGAACGCTACTACAAAAACTCGTGACCTTACGACTAGGAGCGCAAGAATGCTAATAGGGTGCACTTGGCCTTACTACTAGGAGCAAAAACGCTACTAGGGGGCTCTTGGCCTTACTACTAGGAGCAAGAACGCTACAAGGGGGCTCTTGGCCTTGCTACTAGGAGCAAGAACGCTACTAGGGGGCTCTTTGCCTTACTACCAGGAGCAAGAACGCTACTTGGGCGCTCTTGGCCTTACTGCTAGGAGCAAGAACGCTACTAGGGTGCTCTTGGCCTTACTAGAAGCAAGAACGCTACTAGGGGGCTCTTAGCCTTACTACTAGGAGCAAGAACGCTACTAGGAGGCTCGTGGCCTGACTACTAGGAGCAAGAACGCTACTAGGGGGCTCTTGGCCTGGCTCCTGGCCTCCCTACTAGGAGCAAGAACGCTACGGGGGTTCTTGGCCTTACTACTAGGAGCAAGAACGCTACTAGGGGGGGCTCTTGGCCTTACTACTAGGAGCAAGAACGCTACTAGGGCGCCCTTGGCCTTACTACGAGGAGCAAGAATGCTACTGGGCGGCTCTTGGCCTTATTACTAGGGGGCTTTTGGCCTTACTACTAGGAGCAAGAACGCTACTAGGAGGCTCGTGGCCTGACTACTAGGAGCTAGGGGGCTCTTGGCCTTACTACTAGGAGCAAGAACGCTACTTGGGGAACTTTGCCTTACTACTAGGAGCGGGCGCTCTTGGCCTTACTACTAGGAGCAAGAACGTGGTGGGGGGCTCTTGGCCTTACTACTAGGAGCAAGAACGCTACTAGGGGGTTCTTGGCCTTACTACTAGGAGCAAGAACGCTACTAGGGGGCTCTTGG